TGCCCCCCCCCCCCCTAAACCCTAAACCCTAAACCCTAAACCCTAAACCCTTTCTTCTCGTGGAGGCTTGTCTCTGTCTTCTCCTCCGTTGCTGCTCTGCTGCAGGCAACAGAGAGGATCGAGAGTCTGACGCTCGCCAAGCGCGACTCAGTAAACCCTAAACCCTAAACCCTAAACCCTAAACCCTAAACACAGTGAAGAAGTGGACTACTAGAATTAGTTTTCGGGGCTACAAAGTGCCTTTTAGGGTTTAGGGTTTAGGGTTTAGGGTTTGTATGTTAGAGCGCCATAGGCCTATGATTCTGCTGGTGCTTTTTTCTGCTGCTGCTGCTGCTGCTGCTGCTGCTGCTGCTGCTGCTGCGCTGTTTGCTGCAGATGGAGACGCATGCATTTCCTGCTGAGGTGCGGGAGGCCCTAAAGCAGTACCCCTACTGCCGCCTATCGGAGGCCCCAGTGCTGCAGGATGGGTAAGTCAGGCACATGGGGGGCCCCGGGGGGGCCCTGGATGCCCCTGGGGGCCCCCGGGGCTCTTGGGGTCTCCCGGGGCCCTGGGGGGGCCCCGAGGCCCCTTGGGGCCCCTGGGGGCCCTGGGGGTCCCCTGGGGGCCCTTGAGGGCCCCTGGGGGGCTCTAAGCAGCAGCTGAATCCCTAACCCTAAACCCTAAACCCTAAACCCTAAACTCACTTAGGGGAGAGCGGTGGGGGCCCCATAAGGGCGCCGGAGGAGCCTGAGATATTGGGGGCCCCCAGGGGCTTTGCCTTTAGGGTTTAGGGTTTAGGGTTTAGGGTTTAGGGTTTGGTGAGTTTGTGCACAGAGTGACGCGGTGTATAGTCTGCAGGAGAGCCGCCAGCCGCCACTACTGCCTCGACCTGCTGGGGGAGCAATACGACTCGGGTAGGGTTTAGGGTTTAGGGTTTAGGGTTTAGGGTTAGGGTTTAGGGTTTACGACCCCCGCTTGAGGGTTCAGCCTTGCGAGGAGGTGCAGCAATACAGCAGCAGCAGCAGCAGAAGCAGCAGCAGCAGCAGCAGCAGCAGCAGCAGCAGCAGCAGCAAGGGTCGTAGAAACAACAACAGCAACAGCAGCAACAGCAGCAGCAGCCTAACATCGCAGCAACAGCATCATCATCATCATTATCATCACCAGCAACAGCAGCAGCAGCAGCACCACCGGCAGCAAAAGCAGCAGCAGCAGCAGCAGCGGCAGCAGCAGCAGCAGCAGCAGCAGCGTGTGGTTGTGTGTGCTCAGACGCTGTGTGGGGCGGCGACATTTCTTCGTGGCTTTCATCTCAACGCCTGCACTGCCTCGGTACGCAGCTTTCTCTTTTTTTTTTTTTTTTTTTTTTTTTTTTTTTTTTTTTTTTTTTTTTTTTTTTTTTTTTTTTTT